AGCACACTCCCACTTTTGCCATTGGAAGCTTGAGTCCCCTCACTACGGGCTTTGCTGGATCAGCAACTGACAGCCCCAGGGTGGGGCTGACCAGGGAGGCCCTGCCTCTTGACCAGCCGTCTGCACCCATCAAGAATGCTTGGGAGTGAGCGCGGGGCAAGAGTCAGGAGGCCACTGTCGTGGGTTCTGGTTCTGTGCTATTGGCTGAGTGAGTGTGAGTCATCTACCTTCCGTTGGGGACCGCTTTGATCTTTGCTATGGCTGGATACAGTCATTGTCCTGGTCTTTCCTAGGACTGGGGAGGCCTGGGACTGGCCTTCGCCATAACAGAAAACACACAAAGAGCCTCTGGGAGGGCTAGAGGTTTGCCTCAGTGCAGAGATTTTTTTTTTTTTGCCTTACGATGCTCTGATGTGTGATGTTTCAGATAGGATTTCCCCCCATGGGACTGACTCATGTCTACTCTGGCCTCTGTTGTCTCTCTTTTAAATGTTATTTATTTTTGAGAGACAGAGAGTGAGTTGGGGAGGTGCAGAGAGAGAGGGAGACAGAGGATCTAAAGCGGGCTCTGTGCTGACAGCAGAGAGCCTAATGTGGGGCTAGAACTCATATACTTTGAGGTCGTGACCTGAGCTGAAGTCAGACCCTCAACTGACTGAGCCACCCAGGTGCCCCTGGCCCCTATTGTCTTTTAATCTTCATATTGCCTCCCTGAATTCCTGGCATTTTGTCCTCTGTAAACTTGAGCAATAACATCTCTTAACGCCCTTCTCTGGCAGTTCTAGGACAAGCCTGGTGGCCCCATTGCAGTGCAGGTGTTTTGCTGTGGCCTGACAACATAACCCAAGCCACCATGCCGTTTAACAGATTCCCAGCGTTGTGAGAAGCTTGTAGGGACCAGGCCAAGGCTGGTCTGTGGGCCCTCAGGGTGATTGGATGTATCCAGGAGCATGGCCTGAGATGTTGGTGTCTAAGATGGGAGAACAGAGGCCAAAGGGCCATTCTGAAGGGCCTCCAGGCTACGGGTTAGCATAACCAGATCTTCCAAGTGGTGTGCATCCAATCTGGGTCTAACCCACCAGCCAACTTGGAGACGTCACGTAGCCGGGCTAAGTGCTGGGGAGGCAGGTATGACCCACCCCATTCGACTCTGATGCTCCCTGTTAATTAGGGGCAAAGTCAGGCTCCCTCCTGTGGCTGCCACCACACAATGGCTTGGGACCTCTTTTCACCACTGGCTTCTCTAGAAGAGTCTAGGCCCTCCCCTCCGCCCCCTTCTATCCTTTCTCAGAATGTCCCGTGGGCAGCAACATCTTTTGGGTCTTGAGTGCAATAGAAATGTCACGACTATGGCATGAGGATTTCTAGTGGCCCCGTGTACCTGTAGGTGCACCTGTAGGTGCAAATATACAAATTATCTTAAGGAACAAATTGGCTGTGTATAAACACTGGTAGTTGAGATAAGGTGGAAGAATCATGGGTCTGAGCCCTGGTTCTGCCACTTACTGCATGTATTAGTTTCCTGCAGTTGCCGTAACAAATTGCCACAAACTTATGACTTGAAACAACACAAATTAATTCTTTCACCGTTCTGGTGTGCAGAAGTCCAAGGTGTCATTCTCCCATAAGACCTTAGGGGAGGGAACTTTTGTGTCTCTTCCAGCTTCTGGTGGCTTGTGTATGCATCGGTCCAATCTCTGCCTCCCTCTTCGAATGGCCTCTCCCCTCTGTGTGTCCCTTATAAGGACTCTTGTTATTACATTTGACGCCACCTGGATAATACAGGATGATCTGACCTCAAAGTCCTTCACTTAATTAAATCCGCAGAGACCCTTTCCAAATAAATCCACGTTCCTGAGTTGCAGGGGTTAAGGACGAGGACGTATCTTATTGGGAGACACCATTCAACCCACCCCACTGAGTAGCCTTGGAAATGTCACTTACCCTTTCTGAGCCTCAATTTCCACACCTATAAAACAGGGATGATAATCTTTACATCATAAGGCTCTTATGAAAATTAAAATGAAAGCATTTGCCACATGGTAGATGCTCTATAAATACATATTTTTGATTATGTGGGCCCCAGTCCTGTGAAACACAGAGCTTTCAGTTACAGCTCCGTTGGCTATGCATGCCTCTGCCCATCTTTGGAGTGTCTCCTGTTCCCTGCCCTGGTCTTCCTTCTTGGCCTCTCTGACCTTTGTTCTCTACCTGGTTCTTCATGCTTCTATAACTCCCAGCACAATATCTTCCCAAGAAGTGTGGAAAGCACTCACTCATATTTGTAATTAAACCGTACCTTCAGGCCAGATCGGCTTTCCCTGAGTCTCCAGGACCATGGAGGACCCGGCCGCTAGCATCCAGTCCCTCCTCTGGCCAAAAGGGAAGAGCTCACAAGTCAGAAGAGCTGGGTCCCAGAGCCAGTGCTACCACCAAGTAGCTGTGTGACCTTAGCCAAGAGTCTCAGTTTCTCTAAGCCTCAGGTTCTTCATCTGAAAGTGGAGCTGATGATTCCTGTCTTGTTAACTCAGCCTCAAGTGAACATTAATTGGGATAACGTGGGTGACGGCAGTTGTCATCTGTGCTCCAAGGCTGGAGGGCCTTGATCATCATTCCCAGCTTAGGCTGAGGGGCGCAGTCCCTGGTTCCAGGCACCCCCCTCTAGAGAAAAAGCCCAGTTCAGTCCCCCTTCTTCCTCAGAGTCCCTTCTCTGCCTCACTTCACTTATTTGGACCCCTACGTCAGATCCATTACCTAGGTTAAAATCTGATGAGGCTCCCTCTGCTGGCAAGGACCCTCTCACCCTCCCAGTCACCTCATCAATCAGCCCAGTCGTGGGCTGAGATTGCGTGGAATGGAGCCTCATGACCAGGGATGTCCCCTCCAGGCCCTGTTCAGGGACCCGCTGGTACTGTCAGGATCAGCTTGACTCTGAGTAAAGAGGCCTATTGTGCTGCACGGCGAAGGGGGCGGTGCATGGCAGGGCCCCTGGCTCCAAAGAACATGAAGTTGCTGGAGGGAACTTAGTGCTTCTGACCTCGTTTCAGAGCTTTGACCAGAGCCGGTTGACCTAGCTTCCAGTTGCTGTGTTTTTAACTCTCTAACCGCATGACCCCGAGCAACCCACATAAACCCTCTGAACCTCTGTTCCCTCATCTTCAAATGGCAATGACAGTCCTTAACTGCAGGGATGGTGAGGACCAGAGAGGTAGTGACTCTGAAGCAGGTGTGTGGGGGCTGGTGGCCACCCTGATGGAAAAGGCGGACGAAAGGAAACACGTTTATTAAGTACCTCCTTTTTGCTGGATGCTGTATATATGCATTTCTCATTTAATGTGTGCAATTTGAGGTCAAGTCTGTGTTGGAGTCCACATGGGCCTGGCCTAAAGCTGAGCCCGCTGCTCCTGTTGGTGCCCCTGCCCACCCCCAGCCAGTACAGACCCCGGTCCCCATTGGGAATATGCCTCATTAAGGAAGGAAAGTGACTCTGAGTCAATCTCAGAGTCCTTTGCCTTGTGAGGATGCAGGCAGGGAAGCTGTTGGCTCATGCCGCCCTGGCACAGTGCCCACTGAGGGTGGCTGTGTCAGTCGGCATTCTCCAGAGAAACAGAACCAATAGGATGCATACAGAAAGAGATTTATTGTGATGGATTGCTCACGCGGTTATGGAGGCTGAGAAACCCCACGATCAGCTGCCGACAAGCTGGGGACCCAGGAAAGCTGGGGGCAGAACTCCAGCCCAAGTCTGAAGGCCAGAAAACCGGAGCTCTCGCGTCTGAGGGCAGGAGAAGACGGATGTCCAGCATAAGCAGAGAGAGCGAATTCGCTCCTTCTCCGCCTTCTGTTCTGTTCAGGCCCTCAACAGATTGAGCGAGGCCCACCCACACTGGGGAGGGTCATCTTTACTCAGCCTATTCCACTCAAATACTAACCTGTCCCTGAGAGGGGGTGTTCCTGAGACATCCAGAAATAATGCTCACCAGCTATCTGGGCATCCCTTAGTCCCGTCACGTGGACACAAAAATTAACCACCACAGTGGCCAAGGATCAAGTGTTCCCCATGATGGCTACTTACCGCTGGCTACTCCTCATTCCCTTGCATAGCAGCCTTCAGTAGACGTCTGTCCCCTACTGTCCCTGACCTTCTCCCTCCCTGCTTCTCTTGTTTCACCTCCCCCCTCCTCTTTTGCACTCTCTGGTCAACCATAGACGTAGAGATTTCTCACCACACTCCCCCACCTCCAGCTTATGGCTCCCTTAGCACAGTGCCCTCCAGGCTTAATTCCGACTCATCAGTTAAGACTCAATGCAGGTGCTGCTAACACCCGGGGTCCCTTGCTGGCTCCCCAGGCCTCGTGCTGAGCATGAAGCCCCATCTCTGTGCTCCCACAATAATCCTGCGTGCAGATTTCCATCTCTGTACCAACCGCATTGTGATGACATTATTCCTTAATAATATTTGTCTCTTCTCATAGTTGGTCTTAAACGGGGTCAGGGAGTGTTTGGTGGGTAGTGAGCGAGAGGCCATATGAACTAGGATTTTGACAGCCTCTGTCCAATGCCCTCTCACCCCCTATCAGAATGGGCTGGGAGGGGGAATAGGGAGAAATTCAGGACACAGAGTTATTTTGTGAAAACCTCCCAAGCGATTCTGACTTAAGATTTGTCTCTCACCTCAGCCTTTGCTTTGGCCCAGCCACTGAGCCGCACAGAGACAAATGAACAGCTCTTGACATGTACAGTTTTGGGAAATCCATGTCTGATGCTCGGGGGGGCTTGAGACTAGAAAGCCAATTATGAAGCTATCCTTAGTGCCCGGAAACTGAACTTGCTTGCGGTAATATGGAAGAGGGGGGTCTGTGTTTGGGAAAGGGAGAGTGGGTGTGTAGAGGTCCTGGAGGTGGGGGCAGACCAGGTGCGTCCTGGGATTCCCTCCCCAGTTGTGCAAAGACCTTTCTTATGCGAATAACCTGTCAGTGGGAACATGCTCTCTTTCTCAGATTTGTGACAGCGTCCTGAGCTGGTGACAGACCTACTCTGTGACTTTCAGCCAGATTCAGTCCTCACATTCCTGAAAACATGACCCTCGCCGGTAGGTACAAAAACTGTCTATGCAGCGGGACACCGTAGGGCAGGGTGTTTCTGTACACACATGTACGTGCTTACCTAGACACAGAGAAGGGTAAAAGACTGACAGAAAGTATACCCCAGGATTAAAAGGCGTTATCTCTAGATGGTGGGTGGGATCACAGCTGAGCTTTTCTTTTTTTTTTTTTTAATTTTTTTTTTTTTTTTAACATTTAGTTATTTTTGAGACAAAAAGAGACAGAGCATGAACGGGGGAGGGGCGGAGAGAGAGGGAAACACAGAATCTGAAACGGGCTGCAGGCTCTGAGCGGTCAGCACAGAGCCTGACGCGGGGCTCGAACTCACGGACCGCGAGATCATGACCTGAGCTGAAGTCGGACACTTAACTGACTGAGCCATCCAGGCGCCCCAGAGCTTTTCTTTTACTCATCTGTGCGTGTTTTAAAAACTTTTTACAATGCACACGTATTATTTTCACACTGGATTATGCTTTCAACAAGTAAAAGGAAAGAAGAAGGAGAGTGCTTGGGCACCACACTGGGTTTAGCTGAGAACTGAGAGGGCCTGAGCATGTGGAGCTTAAAACAAGGTGCACTGGCCCCAGGGTAGTGGGGGGACAGGCAGGATCACAGGCCGGGGCCAGGGCAATAGTGGGCTGGACTTGACCATATCAGCTCTAACTTGTGACCTCTTGGCTTTCAAATCCTCTCCTGACACAAAGAGACTAGACGGTGGGGGTGCCTTTATGGGCACCGGCACCTGTGCTGGGAAGGTCAGAGAAGGCTCACAGCCTGACCTTGCCACCCAGGGAGAGGCAAGACCGGAGGGATGGTGGTGTGCATCTTTACCATTCAGAGAAGCACTGCTGAGTACTTGGACTAAAACGGAGCGTGAATTTCCTGCATCTCGGAGCAAAGTAAATGGAATATTCTGGGCAAGTGTGAGGAGACAGAGCACTAGGTCCAGGGCGCCAGGTTGGGGTTTGTGGTCTTTACCTGAGGGCATTCTGCATTCGGTACTAAGAAGGGAAACAATGTACTCAGGAGAAGATGGGGTCATCTGGGTGCTCTGGAAGGGTCAGGTTCTAAGGGTCTAAGGGTCACCTGTCTAAGGTGGACAGAAGTGGATCTGAATCACACACAGGAATCCTAAAATGGGCCGCTCAGGGCAAAGGGGGCTGAATCCCCAGGCAAGGGGTAGATTTGGGTGGTTTAGGTGCCGCTGTGGAGCCTGGTGACCCCTGGCTGCTCAGGCACCCAGACTCACACGGAGGCTGACTCAGGAGACTAGGAGGGAGTCACCACCTTCTGCCGGTGTTTCTGCAGCCTACAAAGAGAAGATGAAGGAGCTCCCACTGGTGTCCTTGTTCTGCTCCTGTTTTCTGGCCGATCCTCTGAATAAATCATCCTATAAATACGAAGGTAAGTGAGGGCCACAGTTGAGGGTGTAGCTTGTGGAGGATTCCTGGGCTCGTATCCACGAGTAGCACGCTCCTGTCCCAATTTTATGAAACTCTCCTCCCCGTATCAAGTTTTCTTTCCCAGAGCCAGTAAAACCACTGCAGCTGATTCTGAGGGTCTAAGCATCAGGCAAAGGCTGGTGTGGGGCTGCAGCCGGGGGGACTAGGTAGCAGCTGAAGGTGAATCAGGCCCTCTGCCTCCTGGTCTTATCTTTTCTTCATTCATTTAACAAACGGATGCTGTGGAAGATGCCGAGGTGAGGCAGTCAGAGATTCTGCCCTTGGGGAACACCTAGAATAGAAGATGAGCGCAAACCACTGGATTCCACAGTTGATAGGTCTCCTTAGTGAATGGTGGAGATGCTCTGACGGAGTCCAGAGCGGGGGCGAACGAGAGGACCTCCCCCTGCAGCCAGCCAAGGAGGTTGTGCGGTAGCCATGTTGCCTGGGACCTGTGACAGGGTCCCAGGACACTGGCAGGGGGCACTGAGTGGCCACACTCTGCTCAGGGAGGGGTGGGGAGCAGGTCACCTCTTAATTTCCGTGGGATTAAAAGGAAGGGACAGGTTTGTTTTGGAAACGAGAGACGGGAGTGCTTGGGTTACCTGAGATTGTTTTTTCTGTCTAGGCTGGTGTGGGAGACAGTGTAGGAGGAAAGATCAAAGCCAGCGGAAAGACAGTGCTGACTGGAGAGAAAGAAGAGAGCAGGGTAGGAGGGAGCAGGGGAGAGGTGGCAATAGGCTGAGCCATCAGACTGGGAGTGGGACGAGGAGCGGACGGGTGGTGGGCGGTGGGCAAATGAACCACTGGCTGCCACTGAGGACAATTTGAGCAAGAGCTCAACGACGGTAGGAGCCTGTGGCAGAAACAACAGCGAAAGCAGTTGCTACGGCCATTATTAGAAACCGCGATGCCTGGGACCTCTACTCTTGGAGCCCGAGCCCTTGCCATGGCGACCAGCCCCTTCAGCCCCATTCACCTTAGGTGCCTAGTTCAGGACCAACCCAGAACTGATTGCCTTGGGGACCCTAGGGCTCCCATATACGTGTGCATGTGTGCATGCTTTGGGGGCACCAATCTAGTTTACAGGGGGTGAGCAGCCCCTTCTATTGCTTTCTTTAGCAGACACAGTGGACCTGAACTGGTGTGTAATTTCCGACATGGAAGTCATTGAGCTGAACAAATGTACCTCGGGCCAGTCCTTTGAAGTCATCCTGAAGCCACCTTCCTTCGATGGGGTCCCCGAGTTCAATGCCTCCCTACCCAGGCGGCGAGACCCATCGCTGGAAGAGATCCAGAAGAAACTAGAAGCAGCTGAGGAGCGAAGAAAGGTAAGTGCTGTCTTTTCTTTCCTCTATCTCAGCATGAGGGGAGGGACTTAGAGAAGACAGGTGGTGGCCCTGAGCTGAGGTCAGGTCACCACCAACGTACAAATACTTCGGCAGTGCCTCCCATGGATAGGGCAGAGAATGGAACAACCATTGAGGGAAACAAAGAAGTGAGGTACCTGGTCTCTAGGAGCTTACAGTTTGGTTAGAGGGATAAGGCACTGAATTACATATGCCCAAGAGATGGCCTTATGTGCACACTGACAAGAGGAAGACATCGGCAAACACTAACGATTTAGGGAAAGGCTAAACAATTAAAGAAAAGGATCCTTAACTGGGGAAAGGGTAAGAAGGTCATGGTGTGGTATATTTCACCCCCTTGTGTGCCTTCCATGTTTCCTATTGATTCCTCTGACCCATCTTTATGGAAGCTCTTCATATTTTTTTTTTGTAAATGTTTATTTATTATTTTTGAGAGAGAGAGAGTGCAAGCAGGGGAGGGGCGGAGAGCGAGGGGGACAGAGGACCTGAAGTGGGCTCTGTGCTGTCAGCACAGAACCTGACGTGAGGCTCAAACTCACGAACCGTGAAATCGTGACCTGAGCTGAAGTCAGACACTCAACGTACTGAGCCACCCAGGTGCCCCATAAGCTTTTCGTCTTTGAAGGAGAAAATAATCTTCTTCCTTGAATTCCTATAGCGTTTCCTCTCTACCTCTTAGGGCATATGTCACATGCTAGTCTGGGTTAGACTTATATATATGTCTTATCTCTAGTAGACTTCTTGTTTCCCCAAGTTGTTAGGATAGTGCTTGGCACTTGGTATATCATCATTTAATATTTGTGAAGGAGGGAGGGAGGGAAGGAAGGAATGAAGGAAGGAGGGAGGGAGGGAAGGAAGTAGGGAAGGAAGGAAGGAAGGAAGGCAAGAGGGAAATGAGAAAAAGAACTGAGGGTATGGTGGGAGAATCCAGAGTGTCTCAGCTTCTTGCCAATGTGCCAGGCTCAGGGAGGCGTCTGTTCTGGGTGTGCAAATCTTAAGTGATGGTGGTGAAAATTCACCCTGGTATGCTCACTTTCAAGGGCCTCTCTCTCCCTTTTGTGCTTCCTTAGTACCAGGAAGCTGAGCTCCTGAAACACCTAGCAGAGAAACGAGAACACGAGCGGGAGGTGATCCAAAAAGCCATTGAGGAAAACAACAATTTCATCAAGATGGCTAAGGAAAAACTGGCCCAGAAGATGGAATCCAATAAGGAAAACCGGGAGGCCCATCTTGCTGCCATGTTGGAACGGCTGCAAGAGAAGGTAAGTGGTCTTGGAGAGAGAAGAGATTACTGGAAACTCTCTTCCTTCCATGGCAAGTATAAAGGGCCTACATATTATTTTAGGCATCAAACAGCCTCAGGTAGGAAAGGGGTGTTTCTGTTAGGTTGGATCCTTAGAGAGTTCCAAGGAATGTTCTGGGAAGTCGTAGGCAAGAAACATGAGCCAAGCTTTGGAATTCTGTGGGGGCTATGATGCACAGCTACACAATTGAAGTTTCTCATTGTCTTAGGGAGATGAGACCTCTTATCTTCTAGAGGAACCCTGTGTGATGCAAGGGAGTAAGGACAAATAAGCAGTTGTACATTCTCAGCTTCATCCTTCAATGAACTGATTCGATTTAATGCAAGATGATGATTTGGGCTCTTGGCTCTAAGCCAAGGGCATGATAAGCTGGGTTGACCATTGAGCAGGAAACCTGATTCTCTCCAAACCTCTTGATATGGACTGAGTGAGTCACGGGTCTTTCCAATATTCTGCCTTTTGTCAATACACCAAATGGTGTCACCTACATAGGAGAAACGTGAGAGACTGGGATTGGTCCCACGTGTCAGCAGAGTAACAGCCCGTTCTGCTGAGAACATGTTGGCCTCATTTCCTGAGTCTCCAGGCTGCCCCAGTTTCTCCTGCAGCTCCTGGGAGAGCTCCAGCTCTGTGTTTTATTTCCAGGAGCCGCCTGCTGCGCGGTGACTCCCGGGACCCGATCGGTGGCCTCGTCCCATGGTGAGCAGCGTGGTCCCCACTCTTTTCCTGCCCATCCACCTAGAGTCTCAGGCCCTTGGCAATAGCTACTAGAAAGATCGGTTTCTTCACAGGGGATCTGAATGTTGCGTAGGCCCTGCCTCTGGCCAGCATGTGGCAACCCTTCCACTCTCACGCTCCACCCTCCTAGGGGAAGTAAGGCCTCCACCAAGTATCAGATGGGAGGGAAGTGATCTGGGTCTGATTTCAGGCTTCCCCAGTTACTGAGGGCTGGCTAGGAACAAACTCTTGCAGGAAAAAACAAAAACAAAACAAAAACCTGGGATTGCGATAAAATGGGGCGTGGGCTCTCAGGCCAAACCCAAAAGAAATCATTGAAGCTAGAGCCACGATATGGTATTTAAACCATGGCAAAAACACGTTTACTTTTCATACCCCTATCCCCACAGCAAATCCATGAGGTAAGCACAACAGTGTTATCCTTATTTAATTGATGGGCAAACCATGTCGGAGAAGGTCAAATAACTTGGCCAGGGTCACACAGACACTAAGCAGTGCAGCTGGGACCAGAACCCGGTTCTCTGGGTACCATAAACCTAGGGGACTCTTTCAACACCTATTTCGGGGGGATCAGTCCACAATCATCCTGTTTTCCCTTTGGCCAGAGAGGGGACCATTGGAAGCCAAAGAAAAGGAGCCCAGAAATCTAGGGTTCTCCCCAGAGAGCTCACCTGAGTGGAGGTAGGTTCTGAGGGGAAGAGATTGAGAAGGTCCCCACTCTGGTGTAATAGCTACGGAGGTGAGGTAAGACTTCAAGAAGCAAAATGTCAGAGTAAGAATCTGAGTGGGCATCACTCTTTTGGGATCGTGACCCCATTCACTCTTGGTCACTGATGGAGGCAGGCGGTGGAATGAGAGATAGATGTATGACTTCTGCCCTGCCCCAAGCCAATGCTTTGTGTCAATTTCTGTGTGGATCACTGACCATCTGCAACAGATTCACCTGGTGTTAAGTTTAAAGCTACAGATCCTTGGGCCCTACCTCAGACCTACGGACACTGGCTCTCTAGGAATGGTGCCCGAGGACCCGGCGGTGTCACAAATTCCTTAGGTCATGCTGATTATGGGGTGAGGTTGAGAACCACTGTCCTAGACACACCACTACCCACACTTTTCCTAGGGCCACGGACATTTCTAGGGCCTCTTCAGGGATGGATTCATAGTTTAAGATATATCTTGAATTCCTGGACTGGCTTAGTGGGCCTACTCCAGGCTGATTTTTGATATGTGGATATGATGATGTCTGGATGATTGCCAAGGTCTGGTAGAGACAATATTTACTGAGCACCTGCCATGTACGAGGTGCTCTAGGAAGAATGGGGAAATACAAAGAAGAAAAAGGTGTGCTCCTTGCCTGCAAGAAAGATACCGTTCAATAGGGGACCCAGGCAGATGTACAACGAGCGGTGACAGAAGGCAGGCCATGAGGTGCCCTGGAGGTGAATACTAAAGTCACAGAATTCTAGAGGTAAAAGGAGCTTTCCGTTCATGGCCCTCTTTAAAAACCAGGTTGCTGAGGCCTGATCGGTGACGTGATTGGTCAAGGTCACATAGCTGATGGGTCTTTGAAGTCAGATCCCATCTTTTGGCTATTATGCTGTGAGGCAAAGAGGGTTCTCATACCCCACTTGTGAGAGAGTCCACTTTCTGGAATTGGGTGACATTTCCAAAAATTCTTCCGTCAATTCATACCTTAAGAGCCCTCATCTTTCACCAAAGGGCTTAAGAAAACAACTTGCACGGAGGGAGGGGAAGGACAGAAGTGAAGGCAGTGGTCACGTTGCAAGTGTTGGGCGGGGGGGGGGGGGGCACTTGTAATGAGGCCTGGCCGTAATGCCACATGCTCCTCTCACATAGTGACACCGAGCTGCTTCTCACACTGAGTCAAGCAATGCACTGAGTGCGAGCTCAGGACGGCCAGGTGAAGGAGGGAGAGGTGGGTGGGCTCTGGGGTTCCCCGTGGGAGGTTGGCCCCAGTCAACGAGCTCCCCGGGCCGAACCAGTGGGCTCGCTCACCTGCCTCCTGCCAGTCTCACCTGCCACCTTCTGCCCCTTCTCAGGACGTCTTTGCAGACTTTGCTCTTCACTTCCTGTGGCGGCAATTCTTTACTTTGTGTTCTCTTTCCCCTGGCTTCCCTTTATCCCCTTATCCCGGGGGAAGCCTGTGTGACCTGCCCTTTTCGCTCCCTTCCTTCTCAGGACAAGCACGCGGAAGAGGTGCGGAAAAACAAGGAGCTGAAGGAAGAGGCCTCCAGGTAAAGCCCAGAGGCCAAAGAAGTTTCCAGAACAGCCGGACAGCTCCAGCAGCTCCGCAGTTCCCGAGGCAGCCTCGTCCGCCGCGGGCTGCTCTCCCAGCACTGGGGTTTGGGGGGGAGGGGGGTGGCCAGGGGTGTTTCCTCTGCTTTTGGTGTTTGTACATGTAAAGAATTGACCAGTGAAGCCATCCTATTTGTTTCCGGGGAACAATGATGGGGTGGGAGAGGGGAGAGAAGGAGAGAACTTGGGAAAGAAGATGGAGAAGGACTCACGGACATTGCAACCCTGCCCACCGCAGACTCAGGTCAAGTCCTTGGCTTTTCTTCGCGGTGAATGTCCAGGCACCATGTTGAGGGAGGCTGCAAACGGGGCAGAGTCCGGGGTGGGGCAGCGGCTGCAGGGCCCTGTGGGGGAAGCCCAGGGAGAGGGTGGGGGGGCCCCCGGACGTGTTGCTTCCGCCCTACAACAGGTGGGATGAGGTCCGAGTGTGTGTGTATTAACCATCATCTTTTGATCATCATGACCAATGAAATATTTACTCCAGGTCTCCCGTTCTTTATTTCCTGAATTTGTCTTTTCAGTGACTGACAAAATATTCTTGAATTTGGTTTCCACCCATCAGGGAGCAGCTGCCTCTTTTGTTCCTGAGTTTGACCATCAGAGCATCTGAGAGGTGCTGGGGGAGGTGGGTTAAACATGCCAGACGTTGGCATAATTAAAGAGTTCGTTTTTTGCTTTTCTCCTCCCCCTTCCTTCCCCTCCTCCCTCCCTCTCCCTCCCCTCCCCTCCCCTCCCACCTCCTCCACTTCTTCCTCCTCCTTCTCCTCCTCCTCCTCCGTCTTCTTCTTCTTCTTCCCCCTTTGTGGATTGTCCATTATTGGATTGAATTCACTGAATTGATGAGGGAAGAAATTCCATCTTGCCCGCTATGGGTTGACATTTGAATGGTCCCTGACATCATCCTAAGAAAGAAGTTCTCCTCACTTTGGGGGTGTGGGATTCTAGGTGGTCACAAAAAGTGAGCAAGAAAATTAAATGTCTGTTAGTGGAAAGCAGAGGGATCATTTCAGAGCCAGCATTCACCTTATCCAGAACACTAAACCATGAGCAAGAAAGGGGTCTCCCTCCCCTTCTTCCCTGCAAATAAGGGCACAGCCTGCAGAGCAGGGCCCCCACCCTGTCCTGCACACTGTGTAGTTTTGTACAGCCTTGTAAATAAATCTTTTGGTATTGCTCCCGCCCCCACCCACCAGTGGTACTGTATTTGGCTTCTCCATTTTAGGTTGGGATAGCAGGAGGGATCACTGATGATGATGAAGAGCAGGGAGAGGAGGAAGGTAATGGCAGTTAACACTTAACCAGCACTTACTAGATGCCTGGCAATTTTCTGGAGACCTATATCTATATTTACCTATACCTGTATCTATCTATACCTACGTTGTCCTATTTTGCAGACAAGGAAACTGAGGTATAGAAAGGTTAAGTAACCTGCCCAAGCCACACAGGTAATAAGTGAGGGAACTGAATTCTGGCCATTTGCTCCCAGAGTATAAGTTCTTAGCCACTGTACTGTGCTGTTTCTCAACACTTCCAAACTCACATGTGAGTTCTAGAATAGGGTTTCTCAAAGTCGGGTTGTGTCTTATTGGATTGTGAAATCAACTTAGTGGGTGCCACCCAACCTTAATTGTTTTTAATGGAATAGACTAGGAAACAAAGCATCAAAATGATCACAGGAAACAATGGACACTGGTGGAAATTGTGTTTCAATTGTATGTTTGCTGATGTGTGTTCTAGCATAACATGCACTTCTTCTGGGGGTTGCAATTAAACTCTTTGAAAGCCACTGCTCTCCAGTGAATGTGGAGACTAGAGGTTAGCCCTAGGGGCCTCCGAAGCTGCTGAGCTTGAGAAAGTGAGAAGCTGGGGCTATGCCATCTAGAACTGTCTGCTTCCAAGCGGAAAGAACCAAGAGTGGCCTCAAGGGTCTATTCCCACAAATCTACGCCATCAGCGTCTCCATCCTCCCACTGGAAAACCCAAGGCCAAGAGGAAGCTTCATTCCCACTATTGTCTTTCCCCCAACTCTCTTGCACTTATCATTCATTCCCTGATAAACCCAATAACCACCCCTCCATCCTTTGCAAAGGCTGTTCTCTTGCTGGGGTTGCTCTTCCCTGCCTGGCTGAATATGAATTCTCGCTCATTCTTTAAAACTCAGCTCAGATATTAAGTTCCCTGACTCCACCAATATTTCTATACCTCTTATAGGCTGTGTTTACTATGTAATTATTTGTTTCCCTCTGTCTCTCAACTATTAGATTTGAAGTTGCTTGGAAACAGGAACCAGTTTTATTACTCTTTGTGTTCCAGGCGATGGCCGTTCCAGAATTTCTGCATAGGATGGGATTATGGGCAGCAATCTGGATGAAAGAAACACCAGGGTACTTGTCCCGAAGCTTCATTTGTATAGATAGCATTTTACTAAAGCACTGTATATAAGACCCAGAAAATACTATCAATTGCACATATCAAAGAATATGGCTGATCCAGATGATGTAGAAGACTGTAAAATCTGTCAACAAGACAGATGGGTCCCACCAATTCTCAGTGCCTGACATTGAAAGCTGGAAACTCCAACTATGTGCTCGGCATGGGACTAGCTTCTAAGCATTAAAAAGGATTCCTACATTGGAAGGGTTTACGCATCAGTTGGGATGCAAATGAAATGTCTAAGGCAGTGGGTCTTAAATTTTTAGTCGACATCAAAATGCCTCTGAGAGCTTGTTAAAATGTATATTACAACGTACATTACAAACATTAGGTGTTTGTAAGTGAAAATAATTTACCAAGCTTATTGAAATGTTATCTTTTTTTTTTAATTTTTTTCAACGTTTATTTATTTATTTTTGGGACAGAGAGAGACAGAGCATGAATGGGGGAGGGACAGAGAGAGAGGGAGACACAGAATCGGAAACAGGCTCCAGGCTCTGAGCCATCAGCCCAGAGCCCGATGCGGGGCTCGAACTCACGGACCGCGAGATCGTGACCTGGCTGAAGTCGGACGCCCAACCGACTGTGCCACCCAGGCGCTCCCTGAAATGTTATCTTTTTGAAGATGTTGCCTGGGAACCTACATTTTGAAAAGCCACTTTCCAGGTTTTTAGGTGCCAATCATGACCACGGTGTGAGGAATTCTGGACAGCTAAGAGCTAAGCCTCAGGTAGTATTTCCAAAGGCAAGAGGAAGGGAGAAGTCTTCATGAAGTGGGCGGCACTTGAGCTGAGACTTTAAGGATGAGCAAACTTGGAACAGAGAGGAAGAGGCAGACCTAGGAAGGGTGAGCCGGATATGTGAGTTGGGAATCATGAACATTGGGAAGCAGCTGCTGCCGAAGTGAACGAATTCATCACCCAGGAAGAGTATACAAAGAAAAGGGCCCTTGGGACGTCCCTGATGTTGTGCAACATGAGGAACGGGGCTAAGGAAGAGCAGAATAAAAGGCGGATTTTAAATCCTGAGATCCCAAATCAGCGGTTTTCAATGGGGCAGGAATGCCCCCTGGAGGGCATTTTGGAAATGTGCAGCAGCGATTTGGTAAACAAGACAGGCTTAGAGCACTTCCTTTGAGTGGATGGAGACCAAGGCTGCCTGACTGCAACCAAGGGAACGTCTCATACCTATAGCATTCAACTTCTGAATGTAAATAAGAAACCCTTTTATGATTATCGAAGCCCAGAGCCTAGCTCAGTTTTACATATAAACACAACTTCTCCCACCCCCACCCCAATTTAAATATTCACTGACTTTTGCAGGAATACAGCTTCTCAGGTCTGCTGGGCGCTGATATTTGCCCCCTGATCTATCTCATTCCTCCCGCTCTTTTCTGCCTCCTGAGTCCTATTCCTGTCCATTCACTCTGTCCTTGGACTCAATTCCTCTCTCACTCAGCACCTTCTTAAAGACAAAGGCTAATTTGAACCCACTCTGAGAACACTTAAAAGCAAGTCATACTGCTTTCAAGTAAATTAAAGGCATGCCAGAAAAAAGTCCCAGTTGATTTAAAGGAATCCAACAAAACCCAGGACCAATAATGTAGAATTCAAAATGTCTGGCATTCAAAACAACTTCATCAGGCATACAAAGAAGTAAGACACTATAACATTTAGTCAGAAGAAAAATCTATGGATGCAAATCTAGAAATGATGGCTGTGATGGAATTAAGCAAGATTTTAAGATTTCTACAAATGTGCTCCATATGTTCAAGAAACTAGTGGGAAGTATAGATAGAAGAAATAGAAGATATATAAAAAAAAAGACCCAAATGCATTTTCTAGAATGAAAAATACAATATTGGAAAAAAATACAGGGGGTGATATTAATGGCTGGTTAGTTACAGCAAAGGGAAACTTGAAGTTAAAGACAAAGAAATAAAAAGTATCTAAAACTAAGCAAGGAATGAAAAGGACTAAAGAAATGAAGAGGACAGCAGTGACCTGTGGAACAAGATAAAATGCTTTATCTTATGTGTAATTAGAGTCTCAGGAGAGGAGAATGTTGCAGGTGGTGAGGGAACAGAAAAACATAGGAAGAAATAATGGCTGACATCTTTGAGATTTCATAACAAGTATAAGCATCAGATTTAAAAATCCCAACAAGCTCCAAGGAGGATAAACAGAGAAAAATCATACCAAGACGCACCCCAACCAAAATGCTGGAAAAAAATGATAAAGAGAAAAAGCTTGAAAACAGCTTACAGAAGAAATACCTTACATACAGAGGATCAAAGCAAAGAGTGATAGCTCACTCTTGTCAGAAAATAATTGCTATGGGCTAAACATGAACTCCCCAAATTCCTATGCTGAAGCCCTAACGCCCAGTACTTCAGAATGTGATTGTGTTTGGAGATAGGTCTTTAAAGAAGTAATTCAGTTAAAATGAGATTGTATGGTGGTCCCTAATCCAATCGGACTGCTATTCTTTTTTTTTTAATGTTTATTTATTTTCGAGAGAGAGAGAGAGAGAGAGAGAGAGAGAGAGAGAGAATGAGCGAGGGAGGGGCAGAGAGAGAGGTAGACACAGAATCCGAAGCAGACTCCAGCTGTCAGCACAGAGCCCGACGCAGGGTTTGAACTCACAGACCGTGAGATCATGACCTGAGCTGAAGTCAGACGCTCAGCCAACTGAGCCACCCAGGCACCCCTGACTGGTGTTTTTATAAGAGGAGGAGGTAAGGACGTGTACAGAGGAAAGACCATGTGACAAAGGAAAGACACAGCAAGAAGACGGCCATCTGCAAGTCAAGGAGAGAAGCCTCCGAAGAAATCAACCCTGCAGAAACCTTGATGTTGGACTTTCCAGCCTCCAGAACTGTGAGCAAATAAATGTCTGTTGGGTAAGCCACCTAGTCTGCAGTAGTTTGTATGGCAGCACTAACAAACTAATAAAATAATGAAGCAAAATCTTTAAAGTTCTGAAAGGAAAAAAAACTGGCAACTAAAAATTATAACTGCAACAAAAGTATCCTTCGAGAACGAAGGTGATTCA